CCCTCATTGTCTGTGAGTCTATGAGTTGCTCTTCCTCCAGGCCCCTATAAGTCACTGGCATGAGGTTCAGCCTTTCCTTTAGACCCCGAGCTGGACAATGCTGTGCCTGGAAGGGTGACCTGTCATCCCATATCCCTGCAGGTAACTCAGAAAGTGAAGCAAGATTAGTCCCTTGGAGGCTGTGAACAGCTTTGCCCCCGGAGAAGCAGTGGCTGGGACATTGGGATCCCAGCCTCCATTCATCTCCTGGCCAAGAGCCATTGGTGTGGTAACAGCAGAGAGCAAACCACCAAATTGTGCAATGGGAGAAGCTGCAGATCAGTTCCTGCCATCTTCTCCTCACTGGCTGGGATGTCTCAATGTGTGCTGCCCTTCTCAACCGCGGGTCATTGTGCAGTTGGGATCTTTCTTCTTGCTAGTTGCCTTCTGACCATGATCTTGCATTTCCATTGACCCAGCCAATGAAGGCATGCAGGAAACAAGGGGAGGCTTGCAGTGTCACCTGAGACCTACCAGAGTCCTGGGTCGGTCAGAGCTGTAAATATCACTGCATGGAGATTAATCAATGCTTCTCCAATGAGACGAGGGACCCTGAGAATATTAGATTGTCACAGAATCACAGACAAGGAGGGTTGAAGGGACCTCAGGAGGTCACATCTAGTCCAACCCCTTACTCAAAGCAAGACCAGCCCCAACTACATCGTCCCAGCCATGGCTTTGTCAAGCTGGGTCTTAAAAACCTCCAAGGATGGAGAGTCCACCACCTCTCTGGGGCACCTGTTCCAGGGCTTTAATACCCTCCTTGTGAGAGGGATTTTCCTAATATCCAACCTCAACTTGCCTTGCTGCAGCTTGAGCCCATTGCTCCTTGTCCTGCCATCTGCCCCCACTGAGACCAGCCCAGCCCCATCCTCTTTGCAGCCCCCCTGCAGGGAGGCGAAGGCTGCTATTCAATCTCCCTCGGTCTTCTCTTCTCCAGACTCAGTCAGCCCAGTTCCCTCAGCCTCTCCTCACCAGTCCTGTCCCCCAGCCCCACAACCATTTGCATTGCCCTCCACTGGACTCTTTCCAATGTGTCCACATCCTTTCTGTAGTGGGGGCCCACAGCTGGACACAGGACTCCAGATGTGACCTCCCCAGTGCTGAATAGAGGGGAAGAATCACTGACCTCCATCTGCCGGCAACGCTCCTGCCGATGCAGCCCAGGATGCCGGTCGCCTTCCTGGCACCAAGGGCACACTGCTGGTTCCTGTCCAGCTTCTTGTCCCCTGCCCCCCCAGGTCCTTTTCTGCAGAGCTGTTGCCCAGCCCGTCACCCCCAGCCTGCACCGGTGCAGGGGATTGCTCCCTCCTAAGTGCAGGACTTTGCACTTGTCCCTGTTGAACCTCCTGAGATTTCTTTTGGCCCAACCCTCCAGTTTGTTGACTTCTCTTTGAATCCTAGCCCTACCCTCCACCATGTCTTCTGCAGCATATTTCCTATCCATTCACCTTCAGCTAACGAGTCTTGTCTGAACCTGTTTACGTCCATGGTTCTCTTGTAGTTATTTTTCAACCAGCTGGATGACAGGGACTGTCTACATTTCTGTACAGGACTGGCTGTATATTTGTACAGCTCCTAGCACAATGGCCCGTTGATGCCTCTCTTCAACTACAACTGTCCCGTGGGTCCTGGAAGGCAAATATACAAACCTCAATTTTCATTGCCTCAATTTAATCTAAATTGGTTTCAGTCTATGACTCTCTTCCTTGGCGTTACACGAGGTTTCTGAATTGTAGGACAGTCCTTACTAATGCCCATGGGCCTTGTGGTTCCTTTCCCTGCTATTAGTGAGCTGGGGTTGTTTTCTAGTGGCAGTAAGGCAGGGTGGGAAATCTCACATTAGGATGGAGAACATCAGCTCTCTGCCTTGCCCTTGGTGTGACTGTGAAGCCTGGGTTGGATCCCAGGTTGCCCCACCCTCTGGAGATGTTCTGCTTAATTGTTGTTCTGCTTAATTATTGTTCTACTTAATTATTCACTTAGATGTTCTGCTTAATTGTTCACCTCTGTTCCTTCTGTTTGCTCTGAGTTTCGCCACTGTACCTCTTGGGAAAACAGAGACTTCCAGGCCTGAGTCACACAGGCCTGAAAATTAGCTATATTTACCTGTGCAAGAAGAGCAGGTGCTGGAAGAAGTTACATCACCCCCAAATTACAGGCCTGCTTTCCACGTAAGCAAATGGCTCCATGGAGATACATAACTCAAAACTCCAGTGGGAGGCAAAAATCTGGAAATCCCAGGTACCCAGCAGCCATGGAGGGCAGCATAGTAGGAAGCCACTTGCAATGAAGTGTGGCGTATGGAAAAGCACGTGCAATTTCAGTTTTCGTGTGCAACTGGATCTGGTGAAGTGAGACTTGAGCCAGCTCCGTTAGCACAACAGACCAGGGCTACATCTCAAGAAAGAAGATAGTGGACTCAGAAGGGGGGTTTGAGCAGACAAGGAAAGTTATTAGAGGTAATAGAAGAAAGCTGGATTGGCTGATGTTCCTAAACTAATAATAGCTGATGCCAGGCAGCGGCCAGGGAGGGGCTAGATGAAATGACGCAGGAAGACCCTGCTTATGATGGCTTGGGAAAGGGTGAGAGAGGATCATTTGGATCCATTGAGGATTGCCCTGTGTTGAAAAGAGCGGCTGTGAGAGTGGTGCACGTGAGAATCAGCAGGTACTTCGGTGCTTCTACCTGCCCCTTGCTGATATTTTCCCATCAAAAATTAATTGAGTCCAAGTCTGGCATGTTTTTGCTATTTTTTATATGATATTTCCATTTTTTTATGTTAACAAAAGGCAACTCTCTCCTCCTCATGATCCAAAGAGTCATTTCCTTATTTCTTTCAGCTTTCTCTGCTCAGTTTATCTATATCTATATCTATATCTATATCTAGCGAGGCGGTGGGGACCAAGGTGTGCTCCACAACGCTGTGTGGAGGGGGGGCTGAGGGGTGTGTGTGGCAGGTGGGTATATATGTATGTGTGGCCTTGTGTGTGTGTAATTTGTGGCTGGATGGGTGGGTGGGTGTGGTATCCAGTTGTGTGTGTGTGTGTGTGTGTGTGTGTGGTGTGTGGAACTTGGCTCTGTGTGTGTGTGGTGTGTGGTTGGGTAGGTGTCTGGCTGGGTGTGTCTGGCTGGGTGTGTGTGGTGCGTGGCTAGGTGAGTGGATGTTTGGCTGGGGGGGTGTGTGTGTGTGTGGTGTGTGGCACTTGGCTCTGTGTGTGTGTGGTGTGTGGTTGGGTGTGTGTGTGGCTGGGTGTGTCTGGCTGGCTGGGTGTGGTGTGTGGCTGGGTGGGTGGGTGTCTAAGGTGTGGGGGGGCGCATGGGGCTGGACACAGAATTGGGGGGAGGGAGGTTGTGCGTGGCTAGACTCGGAGCAGTGGCAGCGTGGGGCGATGGGTAGTGGCGCTCCATCCCCACCGCCCGCCCATCATTCTTGATGGGCACTTTCCCAGTGTGTGTGTGTGTGTGTATATACACACACACATATAGAGAGAAAGATACACACACAAAAGCAGCTGATTCCAAAATGAAAACCTTTGAGTTTTGAAGTTCGAATTCTTAAAAAGGTTTTTTTTTTGGATTAAAAAAGGCTAAACGCCCCCCAGGCTGTCATAAAACCTGTGGGAAAATACCACAGAATAGAGAAGTGGGGCTGGCGGGGAGCTCCTGAGGTCACATCTAGCCCAACCCCTGCCTGAGGCAGGAGCAGGCCAATCCAAAGCAAATAAACACATTCACATGGAACAAAATTTCTTAAAGAAAGAAAAGATCTTTGCTTACTGGAAAAGAGCTGCAGGGCCCTTGGGAGGTCACATCTCACCTAACCTCCTGCTCAAGGCAGAAGCATCCCGTCTAAACCAGACAAGTGTTTGTATAACCCGCACTTCCACTGAGCCCCAATCTAACCCTCACCTGCTTCATGGACATGCCTACGCGTGGAAATGCAGCAACATTGTTACTGCACCATGGTTTAGTACTTCCTTTTGGAGATATTAAAACATGGCACAGTAACTGCCCGCGCTGTGCCATATTGGCGGTGCATGCCTACTTTTGCCCACTATATCACCATAGAGGCATGCTATAACTGTGGAGAGCATCCCTATGGTATAGCTGGAGATTGTGTGTTTGTTATGTCCCCGTAGCGCGCTGTACGGTGATGTAGTGCATCGCTACATTGCCGTAGGGCACCGTGTACCCCGCCCTATGAAGCTGAAGTTGGTTCCTTATTCCCAGCTCCTTATTCCTTTTTCAAAGCTAATCTTTACACAATGCAAGGTTGTCAGCAATAAATGAGGCATGCTAAAGAGTTCGAATTTCATCAAAAAATGTATATTGACTAATAATAATATCAAATTATATCGTGCATCAAGTATATAACCCAGAATAAAGAGCTGAGATCAAGCTGGGATTCTGTTACTTTACATTTTTATTCATCAATATACATTTTCGATGCAATTCAAACTCTGTAGCTTGTCTCATTCACGCCTGACTACTTTTCATTGTGCAAATGATTCGCTTGCAAAAGGAACCAGGAATAAGGAACTGGGAGTAAGGGCCCAACTTAAGCCTCATCTCTCTTCCTTGCTCTAAATGGCAGGAAAACACATGTAGCATGGCCATTCCCTACTACCAGATCCCAGTGCTTGTGCGTCAGAGATCGACACAACTTTCACTGCTCGAGAGGGTCTGCAGAAATGTCATGCAATAAAGTTCCTTGCGCTGTCGTTGCAGAAGCAGCTGGTACCGGCCACACCAGCAAACAAACTCTTTTTCTGGGATGCTGCTGGCTCTGATTCATTCTGGCAGGGTTTGGTGCTTCCTTGCATAACAGCTGGTGGAAAAACACTCCAAAGTTGGACGAGATCTCTATATGGTGTCACAAGGCAACCACTTACACCTCCCCCAGCAATGAACCTCGTGCTGTTTCCGGTGACGCCCCAAACCCTGAAATTACTGTAATCAGGTCAAGTGCAGCAGAGGTATATAAAATCTGCCTTGGACACAGCTGCTTTCTTGTAGGCTGCAAAGACATAACAATGATGAAGGCTTCTCTTCTTGCCCTGCTGGCTGCAGTCCTGTGTGTGGATCTAGGTGAGCCTATATGATTTCTATGCATTAGCTTCCAAGGAGGTAGGGGTGAATCAGAGACCCAGCGTAGAAATAGCAAGGAAGCAGGAAGGGCTTGAAGGGATGTGAGGTAGAGAAGCTGTCATCGGCTGTGGAAACTAAATTAAGTGGTAGAGATGTTTGCCAATGGTGGGACTCGCATCCCTGCTGCCACCTCGATCTACAGTCCGTCGCTTTGTAGCATGCAGCAATGTCTTGAGACCCACTTATGACGGAAATTGGGTGCAGGTCCCAGAGATTTTTGCAAAGTTTTCGAAGTTACAACGTTACCCCAGACCAAACAGAAGTTCCCTGTTGGATCCAGGGGGCAGGGGGAATATAGCTGCGGGCAGGGAGCCTGCAGACTCCCCTAGCAATGGCCAGGGCTCTCTGCTGTTTTCAGAATGGGAGGGGAGAAAGGCAGCAGAAGGAGCTCCTTTTGGGGGCTTCCCAGCTGGTGCTGAAAGGTGGGGTGGATGAACTGAAGTCCCCTTACCTTGGAGGGCTCCAATATACCCCTCAACCCTGCAGGGGGGATTGAAAAACCTCCAGATCGAACTCCCTCCACTCCCTTTCCCCCCTCCCATTCTGAAAACAGCAACAGGCTGGGAGCTTCGCAGACACAAGTTACACAAGACTACATTTTGAAATGTCTTTATCTGATACCTCATGCAAGGAGGGCTCAAATTTTCACCCGATCGACCATTTTTGAAGCTGTCTGCACCCATGCGCTTGTGTTTGCTCGCAGCTCTAAACTGCTTTCTGTGGCCAGATCGGGTGAAAATTGTCACTTCTGCCTGCAAGACCGATTCAGCAAGTCCGTTTCCTTTCCTTATGCTCAGAGCCATGAACTGGGGTGCAACGACTTTCACACTTGCCGGTTGGGAAATGCACATGAGCAAATGAAGTATAATGGAGTAAGAGAATGAATCAAGAGGGGTTTATGGAAAGTGGAGCTAATTGGATGTCTTGTCTAATGGAGACTACAGGTTTGCTTAATAATAGTAATAGTGCTCTCAGACCTCTACTAAGGCATTTGGCTTGATCTCACATGACACCTATTTAATAAACCTGTTTAATTTAGTTGGGATTAATCCCCCCCCCCCCCCCCGCCACGTGTGCAAATGCTAATTGATTGGCTAATACTAAGACCTCTGCAAGGCATTTGGCTTCATCTCACATGACACCTGTTTAATAAACCGGTTTAATTTAGTGAGGATTAAACCCCCATCATGTGTACAAGCGCCCCCGATTGTAAAATCATGACACAGGCTATATAGAGACCTGAAATTGGGTAATAGGTTGGGACATGTAAGTGCTGAGAGGGGTTTATCCTGGTTGTAGAGGGATTCTGCCAGGATGGAGTCAGGTCTCTTTTCTGTTTAACCTTTTTATTAGTGACTTGGGAGAAAATACACATCGGTGCTGATAAAGTTTGCAGATGGTATAAAGGCTGGGAGAGGACAAGGCATTTCCATGGAGCAATCTGGGTCTCCTGGTAACCTGGGTCTAGTCAAACCTCCGAGTGAAAGGCTGCAGGGACTACTCACTCTAGCTCATCAGAGAGAGGCTTAAGAGGTGGCTTGATTTTGGTGACCAAATACCTGTATGGGGAAACCAGAACTGGTATGAAAGGGCTCCTCCAGTTAGGCAACTTAAAACTAGATCCGCTGGCTAGAAACCAAAGGGAGGCAAGTTCATATGAGCCACTGCCTGGGACAGATTTGTCACCCCTGGCAAATTTTAAGGCAAGATGGAGTGTTTCTAAGCCTGAAAGATCCCCTCTGGGTCAAATCATCATGACATTGGGGATTTCCCTTGGCCTGTCCTATGCAGAAGGAATCACAGCAGTCTCTCCTGACTTCCAGATCTACGAAGAGCAGATCCATGTTATGAATGATATGTAGACAGAGCAGAGGAAGGGCAGAGAAAGAGGAGGCAAATTCAGGAGACCTGCTTAAATGTTCCTCAATGAGCATTACTGCCCGTAGCACCGCACCCTCCTCCTCTGCTAGCCACGGGTGAGAAAGGGAGGCTGCAGCAGCCTTTTGGGAGGGACCTGATCCTGCCAGCACCTGCTGGAGCACACCTGCTGGACCACCCAGACCTTGCCTAAGTGCCTTTTGGGATGCTTAGGCAAGAGCTGGGTGCCTCGCTGCTTAAGAGGCCAATTCTGTGCATGCCTTGAAGTTGGCATCTCAGCATCTGGGGAGCTCCCAAGTGCAACGAGGAGGTGCCTAGTGACTGCAGCTGTTCCAGGGCTGGGCACCAGCTTGCACGCAGGTATTTCTCCCTATTCGGGCTGTTTTCACTTTCGCCTTGCTAGAAGCAGCCAGCTTTCCTCGCCTGCTATTTTGCACTGCGTGTGAAGGACCAGCAGCCTGGCTTCGTGTCAGGAGGTGACACACCTTCCGAAATGACTTGCAATTGTTTTTTGATTTTTTTTTTTTTAATTGGCCCAGTGTCTGCCCAAACATGAATGCTGCTTTGATATAGCTTAAGGCTGGGATTCAATCCAGCTTTGTTTAAATTGTGGCAAACCCCTGCATGAGCTCACATTTTTGGGCAAAGAATGGCTTATTTATTTCCACGTAAATCAAACTGCATAGGAATAGGTTTAGGGGAACCTGAATAAACTGCTTGATATTCCAATCCCTGCACAGCCTTTTGCAGCTGATTTTAGCTGGGAGGTTTAAAAAACAATTAAGAGCGGGCTAGCTTGCTTGTGTCCGTGAGCTGCTACGTCTCATGTGAATAGCTTCCTTTGAACTACTTCACTAAGAAGCTGGCATCAATTGTGTTGGCTGCACAGATGATTGCCCATTTCTCAGAGTCACACAGTTGTGCAGCCTTGGAGGTTTTTAAGACAAAGCTTTGATTTCTCAATGTCATACAGTTGTGCACTCTCCATCCTTCGAGCTTTTGAAGACCCGGGTAGACAAAGCCTTGGCTGGGATGATGTAGTTGGGGCTGGTCCTGCTTGGAGCAGGGGGTTGGACTGGATATGACCTCCTGAGGTCTCTTCCAACCTCATTTTCTAAAATCCTATGCATCACTACTGTCCTTGCTCTGCTCAAACACATTAGAAATGCTCCCTGCCCACCAAAACCAATCCACTGATCCTCCCACCAGATGTTGGGAGAAAACTAGCTGACACTAAGAATTACCCAGGTATCTTGCAATCACTGGAGCTTCTGGTATGAGGAGCGGTGCTTATCCCTTGGGGTCCTCCAAGAAGGCAGCCAAAGAGGTCCCCTCCCATCTGAATGCACCTGCAGAGAAACAGGTGGCTCGTCAGGCACCTGCCAGGTTGCATCTCAACAGACTCATGACCATGCTGCAAGTGAAATATTTTGTATCCTTTTGATGATTCCCCTCAATTAGTTAACATTTCTGCTGCCTTCCTTCTTTCAGAAGGGTTCCTTTGGGTCCATTTCTTCCTGGAAGAGTCTAAATGGTATTGCCCCCACCTTTTGCAGGTTACTCCTTACGCTGCTATGTCTGCAACGAAGAGCCCTCCAACTTGAATTGTCTGGCCTCAAAGGAGTGCGCATCGCATGAAAAATACTGCATGACCACCTATGTCTCTGGAGGACTCAGTGAGTATGAGCAATATATCCACCAGGTTTTGTTCTCCGTGGGCGCGTCTACACATGCACTTCAATGTGCATTCACCTATTTTAATGTGCATTAAAGTGTCACAAAAAATGCTCTTTAGCTAATGAGCATTAAAATAGGCTAATGTGCCTATGGCGGTACTAGACTTAATGTGCATTACCTAAAGCACAGTAATTGAATGTGTAGACATACCCTGTGTTGCCTAAGCTATGGGTATGATTTATGTGGGAAGCAGGAGGTCTCCCCAACATGTCCCTTGCTTGGGCATGAGAAAGCAGGTCAAGAAAGAATGGGTTAGCTATGGAGGCAAAAACTGTGATTATGCATTAATGCCGTCCCTATCAGGGTCTCTCTTTGCCACCCGTACCATGGTTTTCTTAGGCAGAGTTTTGGGGGGGTCTGGGAAGGATGTGAAATGATGATTCTCCCTCTTGCTTTTCTCTGCCAATGAAGGGAATGAAAAAGACTTCCGCATCACCAAGAAATGTGCTGCAGATTGCTCTAAATCAGATGTGAACCTTGGCGTCTCATCCATTTCAACCAACTGCTGCGATACTTGGCTGTGCAACATCAGCGGAGCTAGCAGCGTGAAAACCAGCTTTGTGGTGATGGCATTTGGGGTCTTGGCCAGCTTCCTCTGTGTCCTTCGAGTTGGGCTGTGATGGAGCGTGGCAAGAAAAAGGATTTGGCTTCCTCTAGAACTTGCATGGGCTTTTCCCGGGGGACGCCAAGATGCTGTCAGGTGCAAAAGTTTCCATCGAGATCAGTAGGGCCCCAGTTCTTCCAAGCACCATTGCAGATCCCAGGCTGTTTCTCACTCACTCTATGTACTGCGGTCTTTTCTGCTAGAGACAGGATTTGTGAGATGTGGGTCACCATGTTGCCCTTCCTTTGTGGGGAGGATAAGTACCTGAAAGAGTAGCTTGTGCTGTGGTGTGGGATCGGGGGACTGGGGAAGTAGCTAAGAGAGGTCTCCACATCTTTCATTGCATGCTAGTGTTGGGGACCTGGGATGTTGAGCCCTTTCTAATGCCCCACCTCTCTCCTGAGCAACAATCTCCTCTCGATCTCTTCCTACAACATGCCCACCGACATCTCAAGAGCCACCTTCCCTGCACCTCTTGTGCCTGAAGCATGCCTCTAACCTTGGCTGTGGTGGACATCAATCACCGACTCTCCAGTTGGCACACTGGCACCTACCTCCCACCCCGTGTTTGTGCCCGAAAGCTTGCATGTGACTTCTGCCATGTGACTTGTGTGTGATTTCTCTCTGGAGAAGCTCTTCCTAATAAAATGTGTCTGAGTGGGCTTGTCTTATTTTTGTGTTGTGCAGAAGTCAGACACATCAGCTTTGGACTTTGCTGGAGAAAGCAGTCCGGCCAGGTTGGGAACATCAAAGACGGTGGTTTGGGTCTGTGCCTCTTGCCCTGTAGTGAGGTGCTCATACTTCCCTCACCTAAAACACAGGCCAGGGGCTTTACTGAAGCAGGCTCTGCTTTCAGAAATAGATCTTTTTTGCATTTGAGAAACATCAACCAGCTCCAATGTCAAGGAGGTGGGAAGCAGGAGGTCTCCCCAACCTGTTCACTCAAGGACTGAACACACTGATATGAAGCCTTCATCGGTCCTTTTATCCTGTTTCAAGTTGTCTTCCTCCCGGAATGATATGATTTCCCGTAACACTCAGGTTTGCTTCCACTCTTCGTTGGCCATCACCTTTTCCACCCTGTCCACACAAATGTATTCGCCTTGACCGCACACACTAGCTGGCGGGGCAGGGTGTGAGTGATTGAACTGCGCTGTGCGGTAGTTGGACTTGTCTGCTTTATCCTATACATTTCATCGGTGGCAACAGGAGCAGAGATCTGCTTGCTTTATTTGTGCAGGTACCAGCAGTTTCCCTTGGGATACCCTGACTATCACACCCCAGGGGGGGATGGCAGGTTTGCACTGATGGGTCACTGGGTATCTATAGCCCGCACCATGCCCAGTGCCTCAGATAGTCACATGGTTTGTGAGAGGTGTGTGAATGTGTTGACTTTGCATGTGCGAATCTTAAGTTATTTTTCTGTTGAATGTGCTAATGCTAATGACGGTATAGTTTTATTTTATGTTTACAATATAGTCCGAGCCTGCCGTCCTGGGAGCACTCT